CCCCAGACCGTGATCCAATAGGTGTTTGTTTTTATAGTATGTTCAGTGTAAGTTTATTAGCAGAAGGAAACTGAAGCTGAATCTGAAGGAATTTCAGAATCTCAAGTAAATGCTCCTTTAAAACAAGTTAGTTTTTTTTCCCTTAAAAGGGGGTGAGGAGATGAAAATAAAAATGATTCCTTTAAAGTTAAAAAAAAAAAAAAAAAGCACTGTTGCAAGAACATTAAGATGAGGTTCTCGTTAATTTTTTAAGTTATTGAACATGTTTCTTAAAGGAAACTTTCGGAAGTGAAAATATACCACTAAAGAACAAAGTTTAAAATCTAAGCCTATTTTAGGATCATTCTTTAGTGCCAATTGATAGGGAAAGGTTTATGTATGTAAGTAAAACCAAAGTCAGGACAGCAGTCTTTTTGGTTGTTGTTTTAAATATATCTTTATTGACTTCAGGGAGAGGGAGAGAGAAACATCAGTGATGAGTCATTGATCAGCTGCCTCCTGCACACCCCTGACTGGGGATTGAACCCGCAACCCAGGCATGTGCCCTGCTAGGGAACTGAACCGTGATCTCCTGGATCCTAGGTCCATGCTCAACCGCTGAGCCACGCCCAGTCCAGCCAGAGAACAGTCTTTATTATAGTTATCATAAACCAAGAGATTCAGCATATCAGTTAATCCTTCCTCCTGACTTATTGGACCAAAAGTTCTTAGTTGTTTCAGAAAATCTCTACCATCCCATCTGTTATTTAAAATAAGGCTATTTTTAGCTTGCGGAGCTTTTCCTCTCCTGAAGTATCTACTGACCTCTTTTATATCATCAATCAAAAGAAACATCTCACCTGGAGCACACGAAAGTGATATCTGTTTTCTTCTTGAAGATGTTCTCCCCGGAACCCACCTTTCCAAGTGTGCTGCAAAGCTACCAGGATTTCTTCTCAATGCACTGATTCCACTGTTTCACATTGTTTGGTTGGATGTTTTGTTTTTATTAATCTGCTTCTTGTATTTATTTTTCACTTTGATGGGTTTTTCAAGTAACTTTTTCAGAAAATCTGAATGGAAAGCAAACAGTGCCTTCATTTTGTTCTTAGTCGCTAGCATACCTAGGTTTAGATTTATATGAACAAAGTTGGGGCCATGCTATCCCATACACACAGGAGAGTCCTCATTTCCAATCACTTAAAACTTTAAGCATTTTCAAAACCAAGACATAGTGCTGGATAAAATCACATGCCTTCATCCACTCAACCTCCCTAACCTTTCTAAACTAAAACTAATTTAGTTGGTACACATACAAATTTCAGGCAGCAAAGATGTGGCCACTTAAATAACTAAGCTAATTTTAAAAACTTAACTAATCTTAAGGTAATCAGTGATCAGTTACAAGCTGATGAAATCCTGAGGTCTTCAAACCACCCCCACAGCAACCTGGCAGTTCTCTGCAGTACTACTGACAAATGACCAGAGGTGTCCAGAGAAGTAATGGAAGTAAATCTTATTTTAAATTCTCTTTTATAATTTTTTTGCAAAAGCTGGAAAACAATGCTTACTTCCAAGATGCCCACTATTTTAAAACCTTCTGCAGTTTGAACTTCGCTTTCATCTCCCAGTAGTGATTTTTAAACCCTTATTTTGTCTTGAACATAGTAATGGTTTTTGTTAGCCAAATGTCTAATCTCTTCTCTAATGAGAATGTTCAATACACTGAAACCTAGAAGAATCTCTCCATTCATGAATACACAGGAGATGTACATATAGACTTTAAAATAATTCAACAATCCTAAATTCTCTCCAAGATGTTAACATGATCATCATAATTACATAATCCAAACTTCCTCAGGGAACATTTTCCAGGATTAATCTCTCAAAAAACTATAACCAACTTTATCCAAGACAAAGTCTTGGGTTCCGTAAATGTTTGAGGTGATGATTTGTAAATTCAACCATTACACACCTTGTGGGAAACCAGCTCACGTTTAATTGTGACATTTTAAAATTGTACAAGTGTTTTGACATCTGTCCCCTCCCCCATACTTAGTTTATTTAAAATGACAGAAAAACACCAATCACAGGTTTAATGGGTTTAATAAGTTTACCCCTTCAGTTCCTATTTGCAGCACCCAATATTCCTTTGAAACACCAGACAGACCCGACAGTGGCCGACAGTAAATTTCAGACCTGCAGAGTTTAAAAGTTCAGGTTCTCTGAGCATTCTGTGTTGCAGTGGCACTTATCCAAAACTGGTACCTCCCTATAGTTGGGGAACTTGAAATGTACCAAAGAAAAAAGCTTTTTTTCCCCTTCAAGGGGAAGAAAAATCAATCCTTAAAACCCAGCAGATCTGGCTGTGAGGTCTTTCCTCCTGTCCCATCTTTTCAGGCTTATTTTTTGCAGTGGAGCAAGAGAGACCAAAATCTAACCTGAGTTACAAGAAACAAGACAGTGATGGCTATAAAGGGAGTGGCCAGGAGCAACTGAGATACTCCTTTACCTCCCACATCCGATATATGTGCTTCACAGAAAAACAACAAAAATAACAGGTCCACAAAATACAAAAGCGAGAATTACAAAATCCATTCATCCAAGGGTGGTGGAAGGCAGGAAGGGGAGGTGGGAGGGTAAATGGCACGGGAAGAAAAAGTATTCAAATCAGTCCAGGCACGGGGGCTGGCAAATGCTAGAAAAGAGCTGCAGAAAAACCTGTGGTCCTTTCAGACTCACAGGTGTTAAAAATCCACATACTGGTGTCAGTGCACCAGAGACAAAAATCCCAATTCCTCAGGAGGAAATATGCAGAGGGTCCTTGGCAGAGGGGGTCCTGCCTTCCCTGGTGGGGGAGGTGAACAAGGAAACACTGCAGGGGCCCCCTCCAATTCCACTCATTCCCCCTGTATGGCAGGGGACTCAGTGGCCTGCAGCAGCCTTCATTTTGGCAGGAGACGAATGCGGCGAAGGGAACTTCTCTGCAGAGGTTGAGCTACTCAGGGCAGACTGCAGGTAGACCGTCTTGTGGAAGAGTCTGTTGCTTAAGAAAACCACCAAGGAGAAGAGGCGCAACTGGAAAAGGCTAAAAGGAAAGAGACCCAACTTGTTAGATCCCCAGTTGATCAGAATTATTATTGGACAACTGAAATTTGACATTAAATTTTAAATGACATGAAAAATAAGACAAGTGAAATTTGATCAAGGCAGTGCAGATATTAGGCACATGGGTTAAACAGGCAGCAACTGGAGGATGCCCTGGGTCCTGTCACTGTCATAAGTACAGTGAAAACACCAGCGTTTGAAATATCAAAGCTTAATAGAAATAAAGTTTTATTCCAGATTAACTCTGATTCAAGAAGCACTTTTCTATAGCTGACTTCAGGGCAGAAACTTCAAGCTATGTCTGAAGACATCATATGCCGTATGTGTTTCACTTTCAAGAGAGTTTCAAGACAAAGTCAATTATGGCTACTAAGACTCACTCACACTGAGCACTGCTGCACAGCAAGGGTATGCAAAAACCCAAAACAGATCTAACATTCCTAATTGTGTATCCTCACTGACTTACCCAAACTTGAGCAAAGACTGAGCTTTTCTTTGAAGTGATAATTGTTGGAGTGCTAGTATTACTGCTAAGGATTCATTTTAAAATACTTTATTTACTATCGTTATTAATAAACTCCTACAGCCAGATCACATGGCCCCAATACTTTTTTAAAAAGTTGGCCATTCTTACAAAAAATGGGTTTAGCCCCGCCAGACGTGGCTCAGGGGTTGAGCATCGACCTAGGATCCAGGAGGTTGTGTTTCGATTCCTAGTCAGGGCACATGCCCGGGTTGCAGGCTTGAACCCCAGCAGGGGGCGTGCAGGAGGAAGCTGATCAATGACTCTCATCATTGATGTTCCTATATCTCTCTCTCTCCCTTTCCCTTCCTCTCTCTGAAATCAATAAAGATATATTTAAAAAAAAAAAAAAAGGGTTTAATTACAGGTGTTTACAAGCACCTTAGTCAGTAGATTGTTACATTTTAAAAATATGTATAATAGCATCAATTTTTAAAACATATTCGTGTACAGATATATGCATGGGGAAAATTTGAGGATATATCCCAGAAGTGTTTTTCTCCCATTAAACTGTACATTAATGTTCTCCTGCAATCCAAGAGGTTATTGTAAAAACGTCTCCTTCACATAACTGTGGTATTACGGCCCTGATCCTTCGCATGGAAAACCTCACACCCTTTGGCCGGCGCTGGCTGACACCTACTAGGCTCTGCCAGGGGTCTTCGCCTCGTTGGCGCTGATAATGAATAACGGAAAGAGGATGGAGAAGAGGCAGCCACTGTAAGGAGAGAAGAAAGAGTAATGAGCCACCTTCACAGCATCCTCTGGAAAGGACACAAGAGGCCCAGGTTCCTCTGCCTCAGTGCTAATGTCACGGCTTGATAAACCCTTAATAAACCACACACATCTTTCCAAAAAAAAGGATTTTTCTAAGCACTGGCTATGCTTAACACTGCTCCAGGGGGCAGCACAGAGGGAATAGGATCCCGCAGACTAGATATTAATATGACAAATGCCTACGACTATCTGTCAAGGAGAAGAACCCTGTGGACATCCTAACAGTCAACAGGAATGCAGAACGCCTAGCACAGAACCAGGCATCCAAAAGACGCTCCCTACACTGAATATCTGTACTAGTCCCTTTCCGGTCCCTCCAGCCAAGTCACCTGATAATATATGAGGACTGCATTGCTGTGAGGAAAGCCAAAGGTAAACCGAATCCAAAGTAGTAAGGCCAGTTCCTCTCTATGTTTGACAACCGCTGGTGCATTTCAATTCCTAAAACAAGGAGCCAATGCAATTAAAATTCGTATTTCCTTTTACTAAAATGACTAAGTATGGTAGACAAATTATTTGAGGTTTGAGTTTTGGATATAAGTCTGCCATTTAGAACACAGCTAAAGCATACAATTCAGAATGGTCCAAATCTGATATAAAACTTCTATGGCAAAGTTTTTATACTTCAATCATCCCAATTTCAAAGCTGGCAGGCTAAGTGAATTATGAATTACAACACCAACATCTTTGTCAGGATTAGTCTTAAGCAAAGCAAGATATCAAATAAAAAGGCAGCCATCGCCTAGAAATTAACCTCTTTCAACCATACATGCCCAGACAAATATGCCAAGGGCTTCTAAAATAGCCAAAATAATCTGAATGCAGTGACGTCAAGTTAATTTCTCTAATTCAGAATAACTCCTGCTCATTTATGCCGACTTATGGCTCAGTCAGAGCTACATCACATTAAGCACCATAGAGGTAATACCACACTGCTGTACCCCCCAGCATCAAAGTTAAGGGTTAAGCCAAATGTAAGTGCCCTTTTGCCAAAGATGCTCCTTCCTTCCAAAGATGGTTTGCCAAGAGCTTAAGCATTAAACAGTTTTAAGAAGTCTGCTTAACAAAAGCATTTCCAAACTGGGCTTCCACGTTTTGAGTTTCTTTAAATGAACGTACCTTTATTGAACCAACGATATTCAAAGCAGTATAGTGAGTAGAGAAGGGACATATGCAGGAGACTAACCAGCTGACCAACAAGGTGGATTGGAAAGAGACTCACAAACATCCCCTGCAGAAAAAACATGGAAAACCTTAATTCCAAAGTTTCAGGGACTAACACTATTCACCTGCCACTCTGAGCCATCACTCTCTGCCTAGATAGCCGCACAGTTGCTTCTCAAGTTTCTGAAGAACAGGAGTGGAGAATGCCCAGGGTAGCAGGAAAGAGCAAGTAAATTCATGTTTCTTATCATTCTGTGATTTTTAAATTCCCTAGTTGTTTCTGTAAAAAAGTTATTTAAAAATCATTACCTCCCATAAGCGTATCTGCCCCAGTATAAGTGCAATACCCTGTCTTTGTAAACTTTCCCCTAGTGAACCTTTTCTTTTGGAATCTGTCCATATGCCCAGAAAGCCTGTCTCACCTGGATGAGGAAAAGAGCCTGAAGCAGAAGGTTGAAGAGCATGTCAGCAATGATTTTGCTAACACTGGGGAATGGGTGAGGCTTCCTCCCTGATACCTCGAATGCCAGGTCAGCTATATCCTGTAACAGAGAAAGTAGCTCACCAAAACAGGAATGAAATGGCCTCAATATCTATCCCCAAAGCTAAGGCCGCTGATCTGCCCTTGGACCTGACTGGTGAGAAAAGTCCCTGGACACCTGGCAATGAGACGCTTTGGTGGCCTGAGACAATAATTCCATTTTACAAGAGCACAAACATCACCCACTGGCTGCTTGGCCAAGAAAGGCTGTGAAATTGCTCCCTACATGGCCACTAACTTCGCAGGCTAAAAATCTGCCACCTGTCAACCCCTCATGCTATAGGACCCGGTCTCCATTCTACCCTGGACCTACTTGAAACCAAATGGCATTCACAACTTTGCTAAGCACAAACAGGGGGAGCACCCAAAGAGCGCTGAAAATTGATGTNTCTATCCCCAAAGCTAAGGCCGCTGATCTGCCCTTGGACCTGACTGGTGAGAAAAGTCCCTGGACACCTGGCAATGAGACGCTTTGGTGGCCTGAGACAATAATTCCATTTTACAAGAGCACAAACATCACCCACTGGCTGCTTGGCCAAGAAAGGCTGTGAAATTGCTCCCTACATGGCCACTAACTTCGCAGGCTAAAAATCTGCCACCTGTCAACCCCTCATGCTATAGGACCCGGTCTCCATTCTACCCTGGACCTACTTGAAACCAAATGGCATTCACACCTTTGCTAAGCACAAACAGGGGGAGCACCCAAAGAGCACTGAAAATTGATGTGAGGAAGAATTCCAGCCACGACCAAACATCTCCATGTAGAGACGGATCACCTAAGAAAGGGGAGAGGAGTTATTAGTTTAACTGGAGAAATGGAAAACCAGAAAACCAAATATGGAAAGCCTAATCTGTGACTATTCCTCCCCACCCCGACCCCACACACATCTTTGTTTCTTGCCAGCGCATCACTATGCCTATTTCAGATAGTCTTATTCTTTGCAGACACCAAATTCTGGCCACAACTCCAGTTCAGAATAGCCATAGATATGTGCTACTTACCTGGCGGTGCCTGAGATGTCACAGTGATTAACAGTACACAGTATGTGGGAAACCACCTGAGTTTAAATCCCAGCTCTGCCATTTACTAACAATTTAACCTTGATAACGAACTTCCATTTCCTCACCCATGAAATGCTATCTATAATACCCACTCCAAGGGTGGTTGAGAGGTGTGAGTTAAGAACATCCCAAGCCCCTGATACACAGGAAGTGTTCAACAGACTGAGGGAGACAGCAAAGCCTCCTACCTCCATCCCAGGTAGACAGCACCGTTATGTACTTACCAATAATTTGGGCAGTTACTGACTGAAGTACAGGAATAAACACCCGATAAAACAAGAGGAGACTGAACTAAAGGAAAAAGCATAAGGTAAACATTAACACCCTTTTTTAAAACAAGAGTTCCAAGTTACAGTGTAATTATTTTCCAGAGAGTTGACTTTTATAAATTAGAAGGCCCGAAGGGGCACCAAAATTGAATCCATTTCTATTCCCAATACCCAACTAAGAGGTACAAACCTGACATTGCCTAAAAAACAGTAAAACCTTTGGGGGCAGAGAAGGACATTTCAAATAGTATTCAGGACAAAATACAGGCACAGACTAAGCACACAGTAATACTTTACTAATTAAAGCTAACACCTGAAAACATCTGTGAAATGTTTAAATTAAGAAAACTTACATTATGTTGAATTCCAAATCAAAGGAAATATTTAACTACCTGTTCTTCAAAGTACTCAAATTTCACCTAAGCCTGGGTTGCTTCTCCGTTAATTATAGGCAATCTCTTCTGGTGTGGGTTTCAACAGATATCAATTCTAATAGATTGCTATGACCAGATGAGGGGAGAGCCTTGCCCTTGTCCATCTGTATTTTCCCTCTGGTTTCCCATAGATGCTCTTAGCCAAAATGTCCAGATAATGTCAAAAGAAATTATTAACCAACAGCAACATTAAGACTTGTGAATAAGTAATTTTTCAAGAAAAATTAAAATGCTAGCCCTTTACTTCAGGGATAGCCCTTTATTTGCATACAAGTGTTCTGACTGGAAATAAAATCACTGCAGTTGCACAGAATCCTGAGTTAGGGTCTTAAGCATGTATCAGCTGGTCAAAACTACTTGTCTCAGTTTAAAGAAAACAGTTGAGAACCATTAACAGCAACAATCTAAAGATGCTTATAAGGTGCCTGGAATTTAAGGAAAAAGAACTTACCCAGAATACTCCGCCATTCCAAGCACAGCACTGGAAAATTCTACTAACAATACGTGGCTCACTGGAAAAGACCACATGTATTTGGCTTAGAAGGCACATAAGCTATTTGCATACTGTCATTACATTTTGTCTCCATCTTATATCTTTCATTGGTATTATTTTCCCCTAGATTTAGCATCCATTGACAATTGAGAACTACTGTTCTGCCAATGTCCTAATGTCAGTCAATAAGAAAAGACTAAAAATATAAGTAGAGAAGCAGCTTTTCTCAAAACAAAAAATTATTTTCTAAAATCCAAGATGTGGGAAGATTAAAAGAGGATGTCTAAGGTCCTATCAATAAATTAATCCATACAGGCTCTTCTAGAAGTATCCATCAATCCAAATAAATTTTTGTGGTTCTCTTTCCCCATTCTGAATTTAAAAAAAAAAAAAAGCAAAGCACACCATGACATTTGAGCAAGGATTACTGCTAGGCCCTAGTTTAATTAATTCAATGTAGTAGAATGGAAAAGAATGACATCACATTTGGGGGGAGAGAGTACAAAAAATAATGGGGTACTACTAAAACTTCAAACCACTACATAGGGTCTCAATTGTATACTAAGATCAGTCATTTCCTAAAGTGCCTTCCAGACACCGGCCTCCACTCCTCACCTCTCTTGCTTCCTCTCTATGCTCTGGGCCCTCCTCTGCGCCAGGACGCTACTTGCCCTTCTTCGACGCTGCTCCTCTCTCTTTTGCTGAATTCGAGCATCAAGCTTTGAGATGGTACAGATTCCCCAGATGGAGTCCTTGATTCCCTAGAGACAAGAGGATTATTTTTAAAGAGGGAAAATTATGGATCAGAAAATACTTTCCAAAGTTATATACAATAAAGTGAAATCACAGTGGAAACCATTGTATTTAATTTTGCTACATGGCTTAAGGGAACCTTGATTTTTAATTTATTTTGAAATAATTCCCAATTTGTAGAAGAGCTGCAAGAATGGAAAACTTTGTAATACCTTTTCCTCCACATTCACCAGATTAATATTTTGCCATATTGATTACACACACATTTTCCAAATCACTTGAGAGTAGGTTGCTACATCATGTCCCTTTACTTTTAATTCTTCAGTGTATATTTTCTAAATAATAAACAATGATATTCTTTTATATAACCAAAAGAGAATTATCAATTCAAGAAATTTAATACTGAAACACTTTAATCTCACAGCCCATATTCCAATTTTTCCATTTGTCCCAGTAATGCCCGCTACAGTACTTTTACCTATCAAGTATCAGAATTCAGTTCAGAATCATATATTGTATTTAGTTTGTCATGTCTTTTTAGTCTCCTTTACTCAGGAAGAGGTCCTTAGCCTATCTTTCTTTTTGACGTACACAGGCCAGTTGTTTGTTGTACTTCCTCAACTTAGATTTGTTTCCTTTGTGATTAGATCCAGGTTACACATTTTTGGCAGGAATATCACCTAAGTATACACGCCCCGGTATTGCATCCAGAGGCACGTGATGTCTGTCTGTCCTTGCTAGTGACGTTCATTTTACAAACTCAGTCAAGGTGTTGTCTAGCTTCTCCCCTGTATGGCTGCAAGTTTTCCCCCTTGCAACTAATAAGGAATCTGTGGGCAGGCACTTCTGGGACCATCGAAATATCCTGCTCAAGTTTCCTCCCCTAGATTTAGAAGCCATTGGCAATTCTTGCCCAAATTAATCTTAAGTAACATGGTTGCAAAATAGTGGCTCTCTGATCCTTCCACACTTATCAATACCATAAAGCCAAGTTACTGCCCTCCCCTCCATTATCTTCCAATATCAATCAAATGCCCATAGTGTGATCGATATCCTGTACTAAACTAGCATTACAAGATAAATTAAGCACTGGTCTCTGGAAAGGACCAGGGTTACACCGAGGTTGGGGAAAGACACAAAGAAATAATTACTATAAAAAAATGCCAATAAGACAGAAACAACATGGTAGTGTAGCTGAAGGAGAATGTCCTTAAAGAGTGTATGATGCAGGAGAGGGTGTTAATTCTACAAAGACAGTGACAGAGGCACTTGCCAACCATATTGGAAGAGCTCCAATGGCAGAAAGGTTATTGCTTGCTACAAACACCAGAAGAGCCTATCACCTAGTTCAAAGAACTGCATTCACGCATCTACCTACCCATATACCAAGCATCTTCAATGAGCTAGACACTGGCCACATGGAAATGCTCAAGAAACATAACAGGAAATGTAAACAACAATAAAAAGTGTAGTTTAATTAAGTGCCACAACACTTTTATGTCCAAAGCAGAGTGGTAGCACCGGGGTATTTGACTTCATGAAGCAGCAGCACAAAAAGGCAATGTGGAAGCAATGGCAAACCTATAGCACTTTCACCTATTATTAGCTAAAACAAATTTTGGAGATACTTGCCAGGATACAGAGACAAGGACAAGTTTATGAACTACCGAGTGATAGGACCATAAATTGGCACAGTGTGCACCTGATCTTTTACCTATGAGTAATTTTTAGTCTTATTTTGCTTTTAACTTCTAAATCTTCCACAAATAGTTTAAATATACAAGAGAGTTGAGTTCAAATGGCTGAGGGCCTAGTACGTGCTAGAATGTTGACAGGATCCCCACCTGAGACACTTACAGTCTCGTGGGGCAGACAAACATGTAAAGGGCACAATGTAGAACTGATCCAGGGTTGAAATTTTATCACACAAGAATGGCATGACAAGGAGGTAAAGGTATTAAAAGTAGATCACATTGCATTAAGTCTCTTTGGCCCTTCTAAGATACTGCTTCAATTTTTCCCTTTAACTCAAAGATAATAAACATTCCCACTGAGAAATCACCTCCCACCCCCCATCAGAACTGGCCTCTCTCCTGCTACTAAGAATATAGCTAGAGGGGCTACAGCTAGGGCATTAGACCTCAGACATCCACTGTAACAGGATTTTATGCTACTGGAAATTTGGATGACTAGGTCCTAAACAGATCTTTATGGGACATTTTCCTAGAGCATCATCATCTGCGCCTTGTAGAAAGGGGGGCTACTCTAATGTAAATCCAAATGAAGTAGTTTAGGTAACAGTGATATAACCAATGTTCACTGCTTAGTTTTGACCAATGTATCACGGTTACAGAAGATGTTAACATTAGCAGAACCTAGTGAAGGAAACAGGGGAACTCTGTACTATCTTGCAACTTTTCCATAAGTCTCAAATTAATCCAAAATAAAGTTTTTTTTAAAAAGACTCTGACCAGGATTCTCAAACTAGAGACACCTTGGTAGAGAAAGGTCTACCAAGCTTCTGCAAGATGCAGGATGATACCTCTCTCTTGAGTACAGCAGGTTAGAATGAGAACCTGTATGTGAAGGACACAACAAATATGATACAAATTCCAATCACCTATAGGATTTCTTAGTCGGTTCCTATAGCAAAAGGGTTAAGAGATGGCTTGATGTACTCACCCTGGCAAGGTCCTGGAGAAAGGTTTTGACACTGTCAGCCATCTCTTCACCACCCAAACTACCAACTACACAGAGGATACAGAAGCATCCCAAATTCTTTCATCATGAAGAACCTGGAAACAGATAGAGCATAATGGAGGGGAAAATATTTATCTAAAGATAAGTAACTTCACATACATTTCTTCATGATGCCATTTTCCACATACTTGCATCTCTAATAGGAGTGCAATAGATTCTAGCACTTAGATACTAGGACAGTGAACTAAATAAGGTTATCCCTGTAACTACTGAAATCTGCAATCAACAAATTATTTTTTAATCACTTACCACCCTTTCACTTTTACAGGGGCAAACCGGTCTGGGACCAGTAGTCTCCTCTCTGGGCCTTGATGTCCTTAACTGCCCCCCACACACATTCCAATATCCTGTTAAGCTATATTTATGCTCAATGTATAACCTCAAATGCTAGAATGAAACTACAAGAGTAAGATGAAAGTTGTAACAAAAATTACTAAATATGCACTTCATACAAAAGGCCCTCCAGCACACCGTTAAGTTTAGGCATGATGTGAAATTTCCCACCAAGACCTCCAACTAGGCCTCCATATGCTTTCCAATTTTAAATATACACACATAAAAGTGCAATTTTAATAAGCATGCAAAACAGTGGATTTTAAATTAGGCCATAAAAAGCTCACAGGTATAAATATTCCTTAACTCACTATAGCTTTTCCCATTTTATTTCTCAGGTAAAAATAAATCTAGCTTCAAAAATTAAGAACTTGGAAGTTCATATGTATAAATATTCTTAAAATCTATGTTCCCATTTAATGTCGTGAAGGTGAATAGGAAACCCATTTTCAAAAATTCTAAGAACTTGGGATTCTAGAGTTCTCAAACCTGGCTAAACCACTCTAGGGCATTCTCAATTTAAGAGATAGATCATAACGACAGAATTTCACAGGCTGCTTGTATAAACCTCAAACTTCAAAACATAAGCACACTTTCCCTGGCCTACAACCACCTCACCGAACTGTACCTTATTGATCCAACTGGACTAATGCCACCGAGAACTGAAAGAGCAGGGACTATAATAGCAGGGAGAGGGTAACTTGCACAACACCATATGAACCACCTGCTCCTGAGGTCAAATCCTACACAGATGCACTCCCTTCAGGTAGAGAGGTTTCTAGGGTAAGAAACTTCTATTAATACTCCCACTTAAAAACAAAAAAACCATCTCAGAGTGAAAAATAACTGTGCCAGGTGAATGGTAAAATGCTCAATGATGACACACAAGACACTGGTTTGTAAAGACTATCATGAATTCACTCTTAACCAGCTATGTCCTAACCTTTAAATTAAGAGTATTGAAATCTTCATTTTTTCCGAGTATAAAGTGCAATAACATGAAAATAAAAACGTCTCTATAAACAGAATCTCACTACAGAATAAGCTAGTGTGGGAGTTTAAGGAACCCAATTACTTAGTCTGCATTCCTCACAGCGCTCAGAAAGCCTGAAACAGGTCAGTCCTAGGCCAGTAGAACAGCTTTGTTATCTGAACCATGGCCATTAACACCTGGCGTCTGCATGTACCAAGTGGCAGGTTACCTACTGACCAAAGGCGGCCTCTGAAGGACAAGTCACTTCAATTTTATGCGGAGATCCTAGCAGCCTTCCTGCAGGAATATCTGGTGAATCACCGGTTTGACAAAAAGCTGAGGCGTGGAGAAAAGTAACTTGCCACACTGAGGCCAAACAGCGCAGGGGAAACCCTCCGACTAAACTGGAAGGAAAGAAGATGCATCTGGTTCACATCATTTTACAGATGGGGAAACTGAGTCTCCACAGATAAAAGGCTTAACCCACGATTACAGCAAAGTGAAGGGCTACAGCAAACCTGAAAACCCCGATCGCCTACCCTCAGTCGGACTTTTTACGCCAGAGAATTGTTGTTTACCCCGAGCACTGCACGGACAAAACGTCTCTCAATCCTGGAAACACACCTGGCCACCAAATGCCTCTCAGTCACGGGAACTCGGGAGGCAGCCACTGAGGCACCAAACCCAAGTCGGGAAAGCGGGAGGCGGTCGGAGCCGCTCCGGGCGCAGGAAAGGCGAGCATCCTCCCTCCCCGGGCCGCTGGGCCGCTCCAGGGCCGCCCGGACGCGGCGCCCGGGAGGTGCCGGGCAATGCCCGCTGGAAACCACGCTCTCCCTCCGCGACCACAGCCGGGCGCCAGGCGCGGAGCCGCTGCCGTCCCCCGTCGGTCACG